ATTTTTTAAAAAATAAGTAAGCAGGGACAGGATCATCAGTTAGAGTAATGGCTGTGTCTCTGGACTCTCCTGTAGTGAACCACGGTTCGAGTCCTGGACCCGGTGGCTTAAAACTCACACCAGGCACATGTGTGTGTGTGCCCAAGATCCTGAGAGAAGAATGGAGGAGAAGGGATTGCAGCGTGGCCATCCCCCCCTGGGGGGGTGATTCCTCGCTTTCTGTCTCTCTGTCTCTCTCTGTCTGGCTGGCAAGCATACGCACCCTATAGCAAAAAAACTCTCAAAAAAGAAAACAAAAACCAAAAACAATAAGCAAGGACAGGGTAAGCCATGAAGAGCATTTTCATAGCCACGATGCATTGATAGGACCCAGATTATAACTGGATTACATAGAAAGGATGAGGCATGTGCTCGTAGTGGGCTAAGTTGCAAACAGCTGAATCTCCATCTTCCTAGGGGAAGGCAGCCCTCAATTTTACATAAACCAAGAAGTGGAATAAGAGCCTATTCTTCAGAGAATTGGAAGTAAATATCAAAAACATCAACGGGAAGAGCTGAATGTATGTTTTTCCTTTAGAGACGAACAAGACAGAAAGATGAGGGAGGGCGGATTTTTACAAAGTCTCTTGTGTGCCGTATAGTATGAGCTTATATAATTCTATGGAAACCTTAATCACTACAATAAACAAATTACATTCATGTAAGTGCTTTTCTCTGTAATAAGTACCGAAGAAATTAACCTAATTAAATCAGACCTCTCTGATTTGTACAGTCCTTTTTTGTCCCTCCTCAAGTAAATGAATCCCCTGCTGAAGAAGAGCAATTGTTACAGAGGCCCTCTGGGGTGGTAGGGGCCACAAAGCACCTGAACTCATAACCTGCCCTCATCACTTCCTGGCTGTGTGGACTCAGCTAAATTAATAGAACTCTCTGAGCCTCAGATTACCCATCTGTAAAATGGTAATATTAACACCTACCTGATTTGTACATTGAAGGAGTATAATGTCAAGAATTTGGACAGTGACTGGCCAAGAATAGACACTCAATAAATAGCAGATCTAATAAAGTACTAAGAAAACCAATAGGATTATACTCGTTTTCTATTACTGCTGTAACAAGTTGCCACAAATAGGTGACCTTATAAAACACGAATGTATCACAGTTCTGGAGGTCAGAAGTCTGAAATCCAAGTGTGAGCAGTACTGTGTTCCTTCTGGAGCCTCTAGGGATGAACGTACTTCCTTTTCCAGATAAGAGAGGCTACATGGTTGAGATCTCTGCTTCCGCTGTCATCTCTCGTCTCTCACTCTCACCTCCCTCTCATCAAGGTCGCTTGTGTTACTCTGGATCCCATGGGATGCTCCAGAATGACCTCCCTATCTCAAGATCCTTAGATCCAAAAATGGCATCTTCAAAGTTCTTTTAAGGTCACATGATCACAGGTTCAGGGACTAAGACTGAACATCTTCTTGGGCCATTATTCTGTTTATCACAAGGATTAGGCAGGCTTTTAGACATATCAAAAAATTAGATAATTTTAAAGTTGTCTCTTAAATTTTTCCTTTAAAATTTGGACAATGAGGTTTTAAGGAATTATTGTTAATTTTTTAGATGTGATAATGGTTTTGTTTGTTTTCTAAGCCCTTATTATTCAGAGACATATACTAAAATATTCACAGAATAAATGCTATGATGTCTAGGATTTGCTTCAAAATAATCTCGTATTTTGAAGCAATGGGCGGGATATAAAAGAAATAAAACTGACCACAAGTTGATAATAAAGGAAGCTGAACAATAGGTACAGGGTAGTTCATTGTGCTTTGCCTCTTTGTGTTTAAATTTTCCATAATGAAAAAAGTTTTAAGATTTTATTTTCATCTTTTATTTCTTCCACCTCAAGCCTTAATATAAGCAAGTCTTAAAAATTCATTAAAAATATGTATTATGAAAAAACCATGCATGGATTTAAAATTTGTTTGCACCAAAATAAACGTTTACTTTTTAATTACACTTTCCAATAACATCATTTATTTATTAGCTATGCCCAAGGGCCCTTATACTCCCAATGAGAAACAGAAAACCAGAGAGAAAGAGGGAGAAGGAGAAAACACTTCCCAGTGGGCTGTGGTCACACCATAATCCCTTCTCTTCTATCCTATCTGGATTTATGGCACATTTGCACACATACTCCAACTCCACATGTTTTCCAGCTGTTGGGAACCATGTGATCCGTTGGTTCCGTCAACTACTAGGCTATGGGTTGAGCCCATGTGTTTGTGCTTACCTCTAATAAATTACTGCAAGAGCTATACACATTTGTAAGACTCTGCCTGGATGTCGCTAGATTGTTCTCTACGAAAGTAGATGAGGGCCAGCAGATGGCATGAAGGTTAAGGTGACTGTGTCCAACATGGCCTACTCCATGATTCAAGTCCCAGACCTGGCAGAACATGTGCCTGTGTGCCCAAAATCCCAAGAGAAGAAATGAAGAAGGGATTATAGCATGGCCATCCACCCCTGGGGGTGCTTTCTGACTTTCTCTCTCTCTCTCTCTCCCTCTCTCTGTCTCTCTGTCTCTCGTGAGTGCATGTGCTCTATAGCAAAAAAGTAAATAAGTAAATAAATTAAAGTTAAGTGATGTACTGTTTATTTATAATTTAGCCAGAAGTCATTTAAGCCAATGATAAAGTGTAGTGTTTGGGGTTGTTTAATTAGCATCATGCTTCATGCTTTTTGCAGCTAGTGATTAATCTTTTACTTACTCTGATTCTCCATTAGAAATACGAAACTATAGGGCAGCCCCATAACCTAGTGGTTAAGGGAGTCAAATCCCACATGGCCTTCCATGGTTCAAATCCTGGCCCCAGGTGCTTAAAAAACACTCCTGGTGTGTGTGGGTATATGCCCTAAACTCCAACAGGATGGAGAAATGGAGGAGAAGGGATGTGGTACCACACCACATTAGGGGTGCTTTTACCTCTCCCCTCTTCCTCTGATTCTGTCTGTCTCTGCTGAGCACACGTACCCTCTGGAAATTTATTTTTAAAAAGAAAAAGAAAGAAAGAGAGGGGGAGAGAGAAAGAAACAGAGAGAGAGAGAAGAAAGAGAAGGAAAGAAAAGAGAAGGAAGAGGAAAAAAGAAAAAGGAAAAGAAGAAAGAATGAAAGAAAAAGAAGAAAGAAAAGAAAGGAAGGAAGACAGAAAGACAGAAAGAAAGACAGAAGGAAAGACAGAAGAAAGAAAGAAAGAAGAAAGAAAAAACAAAAAAGAGAGGAAGGAAGAAAGAGAGAAAGAAGAAAGAAAAAGAGAGAAAGAAAATAATAATAAAGAGAAAGAAAGATGAGTATGTAGCCAGGCTATATCCAAAGTGGTAGCATACTGTTCTGCAGTGTTGGAAGCCACATGGCTGACCACAGGTTCAGATCCCAAGAATGCCTCTGCCTCTCTCTCTCTCTCTCTCTCTCTCTCTCTCTCT